TCATCCCTCTACTGTGCTGTAGCCTTTGGTACAAGCCATGAATTGCAAGTCCTGTTTGCATCAATGCTGGACCCAGATAAGTATTTTTTCCCCCTGAATTATTCACATTAAACTTTATTTTTTTAGGGAAATCATGTCTGCTTTATTGGAAGCATGTCAGCAGCCCGTAGCTTCTGGTGGTACTGCCTTGGCATCTTTAATATCCTCTCTTCTCCCAAAATTCAAAAGGCTGCTCATAATAGTAAGGAAAACGATTAATTATCCTGGCAGGGGTGAGGAGAAGGACAATAAGGAAATATAATCCATGGTACTGGAGTGATTAATGTGACTGTTTATGATGAAGGAAATGAAAACTAGAAATCTGAGTAAGTAATGATCTTTCCAAGAGAATGACTTTCACTGAAACCACAATACAAACTCATATGCTGACCTCCTTTAAATTATTGCTGAAGTTTTCAGAGCAGAGCAGGGATGGCACTGAAAATTCTGCTCCCTTGTTGATTCCTAGGAGCACAGAATTTCCACCGATAGCAGGAGAGGAGTTCACTGCGAGATGAGTACATGCCATCACCTCTCTTTAAAATGTGAGATGCTTCGGTGATAGGTTTGAGTGAAGGGGCTTAAGAGGCACATTTAGCACTGTCCATTAAGCATGGTGAGCTGGAGAAAGGCTTCCCCTGCATACATCATCTCTCACATTGATATGCAGACAGAGTGTGCTCAGTGAGAGGAACAAGACTAACAGTATTTTTGATGAAGGTAAGAGCCCAATATTGCAGCTTTGAAAAGATCAGTTATCCATCTGCCAGCCATCTATCTTTGGCTATAGTACTTACCTGGCCTCAGTTATTACAGTATGTAACTGCTTCACAACCACTAATATATTTATCTTTTCATCCTCCCTGTGGAGTTGGGAAGTGCTATTACCTCTGTTGCAGAACTAAGAACTGAGATTAAGGGTCAGATTTGTTATGGTGTTTAGGTGCTCAATGGGATTTTCAAAAGTACCTAACACCCGTTGTAATAAGTGGAACCTGGTATACTTTGATAGCTCTGAAAATCCTGTTACTTGTGTCTTTTCTTTTAAAATTTTGGGCTTGCATGACACTGGAATCTGTAAGAGAGGCTCCCGTGTTGTGGGTAGTCACCCAGACAGAGACTGTCTCTTCATGCACCTACTAGGAGGCGGTAGGTAGGAAGGGAGCAATTTCATGGCAGTAGCTTATCTTGGTCCTCAATTCAGCAAGCTGTAGCTCTGTGGGTAGCAGTGAATTTACCCTCCTTGCCCAGCTCTGTGAGAAGGGTCAGAATCCAGTCCTGGAAATATTGCAGCAAAAATAAGCAGCACCCATGGTCAATAAAAAGGGCTTATGTGCCAATTGCTGGAATGGAAAATTCAAGGGCAGAAGCAAATAATGAAACAATCTATATTCATGCAGCCACCCTTCCAGCCTACTGCTGTAAGTACGGGCTTACACCTAGCTGAGAGATGTGAATCCTACTGAAAGCTCCAGAGTATCACACTGGAAAACAAATGTTGATTTTGAACAAATTATCTGTTCATCGCTAAATCATTTTCTTTCATTATTAGTCTCCAAATTGGTTCTGCTCGGGAAGACAGAATTAGGTTTAAAAGCAGAGTGTCTCTTAAACACTTGCTTCAAATGAAAGTATTCAGTAAACATTACTCAAACCCCCTGGAGCATAAACTTCAACTACTTTCTCTGGTTTTGCATAGATTTTTCAGCTTCTGGTTTAAAGATGGGTATCTCAGGGTTTCATTCAGGATATCAGAAAATAATCAAATTAAATCCCTTACAATCATATGCCCATCAAATACCAATGAAAATTTTATTAAGACCTTTCTGTCCTTGTTTACAGCAGCATAAATTGGGACAAAAGTCCCATGCAAGCAGATGGAGTTATACTAATATTGAATGTGTAAGAGAGAGGAGTCAGACTTCAAACCCACGGCACAAGTACAAAACGATGTGGGCTGCAAGCCCAAGTTTCTCATCATTGGAAGAGCTACACTTTGCTATTATAGTTACTGCACTTATTTCCATAGTTGTAAGGTTCTAAAAAAAAAAAAAAACCCTAGGCTACAAAATTCTATTTTTAACATTAAAAGGATGGGTTTTGGTTAATTCAGTATGTCAGCAAGATTGCAGCTGTCTGAGCTTGTGATTTAGGATGACAAAGTCGAGGGTCAGCTTAGCTAACTAAAAAACACATGTAGTGCTGTAGGAAGCAGGATGGGTTATGGAGCAGCAGCAAAGCCCCAGCATTGTGTGCTTGTCCCACATTACACCATGGACTATCGAGAGGTGCTCGAGAGGGTCCTTTGTGCCTCTGTGAGGCAAAAAGCTCTGAAGCAACTAGGATCTGTCTAAAATTGCATGGGTTCGTAAGATGCTGTTATCCTGCCTATAGGATTTTATTGAGTGGAGGAGGAAGAATAACTCAGTCACTTTATTAGATATGAAAAGAGAACAAAACTTTGAGAGAATGTTATCTAACAGACTCCCGGGTACTTTGTAGCTTGTTCAAAACATTAATTTAACTCAGATTGATGTTACAGGGACCTGTGTGCTCAGGGGAGGATACACAAGGAGAAGGTTTCTCATGATCCCCCCCACCACGGGAAGACTTTCACTGATTTACCAGCTCTTCGCACTCTCCAGTAAAACACTTGTGTGGGACTGGGAGGCTGCTTTAGTACAGAGCAAGAATTGAGAGCTGCTACTGCTGCAAATGAGTGCATTTGCACTGTGGTGTCTGAACACTGTTTTGCACTTAGAAGATATATTTCTCAGTGGGCAGAAGAGCTACAAGATTAACAGATGAGCAAATATATTGAGACAGCCAAGACATCTAAGAAATTGAAGAGTCACTAAGATGTTGGAGAGGTGAAGAGTCACCTGTCCATGGTTCTTAGGAATTATTTTATCTCAGATTAGCTCAGTTTGGGGTTTGGACATATCCTCTGGTGAATTTAGCTACAGTAACTTAAAACATGACTGGCCCCAGCTCTCTGCTTCTCCTCCGGAGGATTCTGCCTGTGGAGCAGAGGTGGCAAGGGGGAATGTGTGCCTGCCTCCCAGCCACTGCAGCTTAGATCCTGGGGGTTTAGTGCAAGCAGAGGGTCCTTCATTTTTGAGGGTAGACAACAGCCTGTGAGCTACACCACCAAGGATGAGAGAGTACTGAATCCCTGGGCAGAAATCTCCGGGGAAAATGTGGGTCAGACAGCAGGTTAAGCCACCCTAATGAAAGTCACCAGAGGACATGTGCCAGAGCTCTGTGGCTGTGCGCTGTGACTGTTTTCACCATAAAGAAATTCTACCAGATATTGGGAAGGCAGTTATTGCAATTTGAAGGTCAGAGGGAATCGTATCTCAGGTAGCACTATATAATGGCAATCACTCTTTGCAAGTTTTTTCTCCTCCATGCAATCTGCTGTTCAACCAGGGGAAAATTAAAAAAAAAAAAAAAAAAAAAAAAAAAAAAAAAGTGGGTAGCAGCAGTCTTAACCTGAGGGTCCTTGTACAGGAACCAGCCAAGGGGTGATACCAGTGGAGGGATCAGAATAAGGTTTATGTTAGATGTAGCTTCCCTGCAGAGAGCAAACAAAAAGCAGCTCAGAAAGATTGTTCAGAGGCTGCTAACCATGAGACCATGCTCATTCCTTGGGCTGCATATGCCTCAGTTCTTCCCTGAAAGTTAGGTTTAGTTGAGTCAGACAGGAAATTATGGATGAATTTGGGGTCTTGAGGGAAAGGTGTTCAAAAAGAAGCAATGTGTAGACACCAACAAGAGGGAAAGTCATGACTTGAAAAGTGCCACACAGAGGGAACTGTGCCTTTGCTTTATTGAACTGTTGGCTGCAATAAATACAGCTGAATTCCCTCAGTCTCCTATAATGTTGTCTCAGTACCAGGAGTCCATTTAAGAATACTTACTTGCACAAATGTTTATATATGAAGAGCAGAGAAACAGCTGCAATAATGCAAGCAAATCCTAAAAGCTGCCCAAGTAAGCTGGGTGGTTGTGTGCTGCCCTGTGCTTCCGTTCTGTCGGCGCTGCCTGACCAAAGCAGTCAAAGCAGAGGAGCTTCTTCCAGTCTGCCTGCCTGCTTCACCTGGGGAGATCATAATCTAGATTTTGTGATGGTACAGTAAATAAATGGTGATAAAATCAACTAAGAGGATATTCCCAAAGAGGGAGAAATGTTTTTTATCATAATTTTCAATACAGAAAATAATATGAGACTGTATTATAAAGAGAAGAGACAAGTATAATACAAGACCTATGAATGGATAATCAGCAGGGAAGACTGAACATTGCATTTCTACATCCTACAGCATTAACCCCAAATGCCTGAACTAAAAGGTTTGGCTGTGTTAGACAGTGCTATTACATGGTTGTCAGATACTTGTGTGGTGTATCCATGGTTAGGAGGGGCCAAAGTACTGCAGGGGGGTCATGGCTGTGAGCAGTGTGATGTGAGCATTGGACTGGAGATCAGGAATTTTGGGGTCTTCAACCTGGTTGTTTTATCTATGTCCTTAAACCCTTCCAAACCTCACATTATAGGGAGTCAAGAGAACTAATTTGTTCCTGCTTGAACGGTGGTTTGAGGAAGAAAAGTGCTTGCACTCTCTGTGTAGGTACACTGCTTTGCTAATATCCCGTTAGGACTGATTAGTTAGATATCTGAATTTGCATATCAGCAAACTGATCATGGAGGAAGCTTTATTGTATTTTGCATCTTGACCCAGCATAACAAAGTTGATAGGAAGTATTAGCAGATTGGATCTGTGATGTGTTTTACCACACTGTACATGAATTCTTTCCACTAACTAAACCAGTCATGGATCTGAACATCAGCAGGTCCGAAGGTGCCATGCAACGCGCAGTCAGGCTGTGCAAGATGACAGCCTGAAATTAAGCATGAATATTCAACCCACCGGGCTCTGTAACTCCGCTTTCTGTTACAGACTGGAGTCACCTACACGCGCGCTGGTGATGGAGGCTCCAAAAGGCATCGAGATCAACGCCGAGGCCGGCAGCTTGAAAGCCACGTGCAGGACAGAGCTCAGGCTGGAATCCAAAGATGGAGAGGTAAAAAAAGGGCATCAAGCCCTGCAGCAAAAGCAAACCAAGCCACAGATCTCCTGCAGATTTGTAGTCTTCTAAGTCACTGAGCCGCTGCATTTGAAACACCGGTGTGAAGACACTGATGCAGCAGGCCTTCCTAGCTTAGTTTCTGCTAGCAGTGATTGAACATATCATATGCAAACGAGTCTCACTCTGTGGCAAAGGCTGATTCATTATTTTTAAAGTGCTTGGATAATAGCATCTGTTGTTCAAGCAGATTTATGCATCTGTAAAGTACACAGTGCTGCTAAATTCTTTGTTTCCTTGTCACTTTAAACAAGATTTACTTGGCCAACATAATTAAATCTTTTATCATACATTTTTCTATAAGAAGAGCTTAATTCACCATTATTGATCTGAAAAGCTTTTGTAGCTGATGTTTTCATTTTGGAAAGAAAGGGAACATTAGGAGACACAGGTTGTTGCAATGGGGAAACTTCCAAAGAGGAAGAGAGAATAACTGAAACTGATAACACAGAACAAAAGTAAAACAGGCATTGAGTTAAGCCTCTTCTGGTGTCTCAAAAATACATGGGCACTTTGTTCTTATCCCCTCCTCCTGCCACAATGAAAGAACACACCGAAGGATTTGGCTGAGGAGCTCCTGCTGGGGAACCTACCAAGAGCCTCAGCAGGAGGAGCTTCCCATTGAACACAAACCTCCCAGCAGCAGGGCTCCAACATAAGCTAACATTTTCCTATTTTAGTGTTAGGTGTAATAAATAGAATGGGATTGTTATTGCAATCCTTGTTATTTCTAAACATTTGCATTTTAAGATATTGCAAATCCAGACCATGGGTGTTAACAAAAAACCTCTCAAAAATACAAACAAACCCCTACCTAATATGCTACAATTGCAATCCAAGACATTTCGCTACTACAGGCAGTCACCTTAATGTTTTTAACACTTAGTTGCTTTTAAAATGTGTATATTGACCTGTATCTTTCAGCATATTAGATGATTGGATACTAAAACTGGAGACTCTTACTGTAATTGCAAGATAAGAGCACATACTGCCAGTCGCCCTGTAACGTTCTGGTGTGCAGATTATCTTACTGTGCTTTTCTCAGTGATGTTAGAGCACTCCCTTGTAGCTGCCATGTGTCTAAGAGCTGCCACATGTTCACTTTTATGTTCTGTTTTATAAGGAGAAATTCAGGTCTCTTATGGCATTTAAGTTATTTTTAATACACATAAAAGTGTTACAGGTATACATAAAATATGCATAAAAGTTAGTGCTGTGAGCCTGCAAGCATAACTGGCAATGGTATCACAGTGCCAGAAATCCCAGTGGAGGAGCAGAGTCATTGTACAGACATGACCCATACCCGTTCCCCACATGGTAGTGGGGTACCTCCGGCTGGGTTAACCCGAACACAGAGGTACCCCTGGAAGCTATGAGCCGAGAAAACACAGTGGGTAGATTAGCAGAAACAAACTGGAGGTTGTAGGTGGCTGATGGTAAAGGCAGATAATATGCTTACCGAGATTTGTGTAAGACTTTCCCATCTTAATACACTTCCCTACCCAGTTTTTGTAGCAGATAAGTTGTCCGAAGGAAGCTTCTTTAAACACAAGATCAAAAATAACAGCTCTCCACTAACTCTCTCTTCTTTTTCTCTCTCCCTGCCTTCAACTTCAGATAACGTTGAATTCTGCAAAAATCAAACTACCTAACTTGCCTCAAGGATCTTCATCTTCTGCAGGGTCCAGGCAAAAAATCTACGAGCTCTGTGTGTGTCCCAACGGGAGGTTATTTCTGTCTCAGGCAGGCACTAGCTCGACCTGCCAGATAAATACGAGTGTCTGCCTTTGAGAGACAATTTGCAGTGGGGCATTGCAGGCAGCACAAAAGCCAGTTCTGGTCTCACAGATTGCAGCTGCCAACTATTTTTACTAGAACACAGAAAGCCTATCAAAGACTTTTTTTGTGTGTGCGCGCGTGTGTGTGAATATATATATAAAAATATATATATAAAATATATATATATATCCTCTGTGTAAAATGATGTTTCAGTACAAGGAATCCCAGGGTGACCCTGTTACATTTGTGTAGCATTTCTCTTTCCCACACCAAAATTTACTGGTACAATCTGCTGAATTGGATTTGATGCTCCCCTGGACCTTTCTGTATTTATATAGTCTCATGATCACCCCTCGTTTTTGATCATGTTCTCAGAGCAATGGGATTGCTGGCTGGGCAAGATCCTGGAACCAATGTAGACCCACCAACATCTAAAGGGAAGAGAAGCATCTCTGATTATTTTTGCACCATTAAATCAGTGGCATGAAAAACAAAACAAAACAAAACAGCTAGGTGTGCTGTACTGATCATCTAGACTGATCCAAAATACCTGAGATTAAATTACACTGTTTAATTTTCACCTGAAGCATGGATCCCTGTTGGTAGATATGGATTGAACTTGGCTGGTAGAAAAGTCCGATCTTCTTTCTAATCATGTATTTTTCTGAAGGGGTTTGGGACTTGACTGTGCGTGGCCAAGAATGCCTTGTGCTATTCAGATGTGATGCATCAGCTCTGACCCTAACCTAAAGTCATCTCTGTACTAGCAAAACTGGCATTGCATTTAGTTCTTGGAAGGAAAAAAAATGTGAAAGTTGGACTAAGTAGAAAAATCCTGAACCTCCTTAGTTAATAGGTGTCCTGGATCACCCTACACACTGTCCATTAGCACCTTTAATTTTGAAAGGAATTGGTGTGAAGATATGAAGATTTAAGATTTGGACATTGCCTATCAATACCTACAGAAACAGAGGTAGTTACCTTTCTACCCATAGAAACAGAGAAATTCATACAAATTAGGTGTGTAGTGTAGAGGCTATGCCAGAATTTTTGTCATCTTTCTTTTCAGAATATATAGTCCAAGGTCACTTAGATTTGGTGGAGACTGCAAATATCAGAGATGCTGACAATGAAACACACATTTTTGAGGATTCATAAAGATTGTGACAAAGCCAGATTACCAGAAAGCAAGGGCTTTGGATGCTGGTTCCTCTAGAATTTGAGCCCCAACTTTTCATGGTTGCATTTTTCCTTATTTTAAAGTCTAGAAGTCACTTACGGGCAGGATGAACTACGAAATCTGATGTGGTAACATTACTTCCACTGTTCAAGTTTTGAATAATAATGAGAAGAGCCCAGATCACTGAATTCTGACCCATAATTGCATCCACATGCATGTAAAAAGCCTTGAAAAACAAATACACTAGTTACTGCAAAAGTATCCAAGTCACAGTAAATCTCATGAGAACAGCAAGGTTTCTAAGCCATTGAGATGCTTTTGAAAATATTATCTCATGTGCAAATATGACAGATCTGTGCCCATCCCTTGTGATATCTAAGCAAAGCTGGTATTCTTTAAGTGATTTTTAAGATAAAAGGTAGCTTACAGAAATCTTTAGAAATAATTTATTCCATTCCTTTTTACAGATTTCCACATATTTTTTTGTGGTCTGGAGAGTACCAGGGTTTGATTTATGTTGTTTTTAAATGAACAATTCTGGCTTAATCCAAATCTGACTGGACTCAAGTGAAAGATTTCTATGAAGTTTAGATTAAATGTGCTGCTGTCTAACAAAGCAGCACTCCCATGAAATTTATTTCTGAAAGAGGATTGAATGATCTACTTTTATTTCAGTAATGCTTTCTGATTAATTAATGAATTCAAACTCTTTGTTAATGAATGATTCCTGTAATTATGTCTTGAGTCAACGTTTGAATGCAAAGGGTCACCCAGGATAATAATTGTATTGGGACACAGGACTATACCATCTCTGTTCAAAGAGGGGAATTGTGCCTATGCCTTAAGTCAATGCACTCAGCAAGGAGAAGCACATCATATTTATCTTGTTTTTAAAACTAGTTTATTTAGGGGGGGAGGGACAGGAGGGTGTCTTGGGAACTGGTTCTGCAACTTAAAACAGATATTAATGAAATGCATTAAGACTGTAGGGGCACCTAGAGTGATACAGACTTCTTTTTTTACCATGTTAAATATAGCAAAATACTGTGTACGTTACCTCTGGGACCCCTACTAAAGTCCCATTCATAGTCCTACATTTACTGTATTTTTTTTTCTCTGTTTCATTTAATACCGATCACAAACCTTTTAGCAAGCACGGCCCAATTCATAAACAAATCCCATGTGAGCAGTTGTGAAGACACATGCTGCAGGAAGAGTACCCTGTACAGAAAACAAGTCTTATTAACTTTCCCATCGCTGAGAGTTTTAACACTGGTGAGAAAGGCAGGGCTGACCCAGGAGGGATGCTGCATCCTGATTTCCATGCTCCGACCCAAAGAGACTGGTGGCTCAGTCCTCATCCCTGTGCATCCTCTGGCTGCTCTGCTGAGGATTTCCATCCCAACAAATTAATTTTGAGTGGCTGGTCTTCTCAGCTGGGCTCTTGGATGAGGATATCACCTTCACACATCATGAAGGCCATGAAACTGCTAAAGGACATTCAGCCATTTATTTAGGTATGAATTTCCGTGGAGGAGCTATTAGGGAATGACCTTACACATCTGTGCCATCACTACAGATGCTTCTCTGAGGTGAACAAAGGGTACTTTAATTATGTCTACACAAAGGAATACTAGTTGCTTCAATATATTCTACAATCATGTTTCTATCTTAAAAAGCTTGAATTATATGTTGTGTTGAAAGGTGAGAAATTGTTGCTATAAAGACTGAACCCATATAGAGACTTGTAAATCATTTGAGCCCCACTTGAATTTTTAAGACAGAAGTTTAGGTGATGCTGCCTGCACTTGTGTTGCCCACATTAGTCCCCTGCTGTTCAGTGAGCAGCAAACCACAGCAAACAAGACTGCATGTCCGAGATCCTGAGGATAAAAAACAGGCATTTTGTTTAAAAAGCAAGATGCAAACACATCCAGCTATCTTGCGCTTCAGTTTGTTGTTGGGGGCTGTTGTGGAGTGGCTGACTCACCTGTTGGGTGAGGCAAATGCATGAGAATCCCTTTTCCTACTGCCTTGCTCAGAAATCCCTCACAGTTGCTGAACCTGTATGGCTTGGTTTTCCCCAAGTCCATTTAAATTAGAGCCTCCATGGCTGGAATTTCATCCCTATGCCCTACCTGTTATCAATAAGATGCCAAAAATGAACAAGGGTTTGTGTACACCTTTGTGAGTCAGGCCTGCAGTTTAGTTCAATTAAGCATTTGCTATTAGGGGAGATGGCATTCATCTCAAACTGGAGTTTAGTTTTACCTCCCAACACTAAGGCAAGGCTGAGGTGAATGGTGAATTTGTTTCTACTGAGCTCAATGGAAGAGATGTGATGACTTTGTGGCCTGATCTGGGACAGGAGCTGGATAGGTGACAATTCAGGGCACTGTGTGCAGGTCTGCATTGCAGCTGTGAGCACCAAAACCCCATCGAAATGCTAATCAAGGGACTGTGATACTAATGTCAATATACCTTAGGCAACCATGAATACTGCAGTATTCATAAATGCATATATGTATTGTAACTCTTACCTTTATAGGGCTTCAGGACCTTGTTAAATTTGCTTTAAATGCAACATTTCAGTAAGCAGTCAGGAAAATGACTGTCAGTGCTCACCTATACACTAGTACCTTATCCATACATAGTGCATGACCTTTCTGCTGTCATAGGTGTGTTAGGATGGTTTTTCTAAAGCAAAAAGAATTTACCATTAGCAAAAGTAGATAACCTAATACTGGCTATACAACTGTATCCATTCTCAAGTTTCTTTGTGGGGTTTTTTTGGTTGTTTTTTTCCTCTTGCACTTTTTGAAGTATGTTACCCAGTAGTCCATGAAATGGGTAGCTTAAGAGTACAAAGAAATGTTAATGCTAAAAGATGTCATCAAAAAGGGAAGGCAGTAACTACTAAAATATGTATAAGGCCTCGCCTATGTATACATTCTTAGAAAGCTAAGTATGTGCAAGAGTGATTTGTATTTGGTTATCTCAGTCATGTGCTGTCAAACAGCTGGATTTTAAGAGTTGTTTGTTTTGGGTTTTTTTCCCTTTAATCATAAATATCACATTGCCCAAACAAAAAAGTTTAAAGCATAAACTTAAACATACCATCTGCAATATATGGTATATCAAAATGATGTCTAAATAAAAAAACTGCCCTAGAAATTGCTCCAAGGTTAAAGAGAGATTCCTGTGGAACTTACGAAAATGTCAGGTTAGTTCACGACATACCTAGTTTGCAAAAACAGATATTCTCAAAGGAAATTAGCTTTTGTTGTCATAAGATGAACACACACACACACAAATATATATATATATAAGATGAACACACACACACACACACACTCACATGCACTTGTTTTACAACAATAGCCAATTTTCTTTATATTTTTTGTTATGGCTTTAAGTTTCACATTGCAAGAGAGTGAGACAAAGACCAAAGACTTACCGAAATTCATCCATTTTCTAGTTGTCCTCACACCTAAAATGTGTTAACTTTAATGGTGCTTTTCTGAACTGCACAGGAAAAATAAGGCTTATTATAAAGCTGCATTTGAGAATGTAAAGTGGCAGGAAGACTCTAACTTTGTTAATGGGGAGAAAAGGAAGTAATGTGAAAAATCATTAAATGTGTGCAGAAGGCAAGGTTACCTGAAATTTTAAATGTGAAGAAATAGCCCAGAACACTAAAAATCATCATCCTGGGCTGAAAGGATAAATAAACTGAGTAAATGCTACTGGCAGTTCACTCACCTGCACTCAAGCATTAGGAGATCAGAAACTCCAGTAGCTGCTCAGTGAAGAAGAGTAACTGTGCTGTAATGATTTCTTTTTAAAAATGCATACAGTAAAAACAAAAAAAGTTAGAGGCTGTGCTCTTTTTTCTTTCTCTCTCTCTTTTTTTTTTTTTTTTTTTTTTTTTTTATGGCTGACATTTTAAATTTTGAAATGTCATCATCTAGAATTCACCCCAGCAAGCACAGGGTGCGTTCCTGCAAAGCTTTGCCAAGCACTGGATTGGTGCTTTTTGAATGTGAAAATACCAGTCTTTTTATTGCCATTGCTGTTGAGAAACGCAATCCTGGCAACATTTCCATTTTCCCCATTTTAGTCTTTTTCCTCAGTTCTGAAATTGTTGTGTAGTATTTGGGTAGCTGGTGTCCTGCAACACACGGGACTGCGTGCAGGTGGCCAGCAGCCCCCCGAACACCTGTCGTGTCACTTCTCAGTCAAAAATTTCCCCCAAAAACCAAAATCTGCATGTAGCAGTGGCACTAATGTGAAATTGGGGACTTTTAGATAAATTCTGCAGGGCAATTGCTGTGTTTTCACAGCTGATGTAGCTGAGTTTACATCTGTGAGTGGAGCAGGGTTAAACACTGACTTGGCACTGATGACATTATTCAAGCAAGAGTGGAGTGGATTAAACAAGGCAGGTAGGAGGGAAAGGGAAGAAATGGTGAGACACATCAACCTAATTACAGTAATGCAGCAAGCTTCTCTGTCTGTTTACACTATTATACTTTAAATTAATAACATCCATTTTACTAAATATGGTAGCAATTATGCTTGATCTTTCGTGGCGCACAGTGGAATTACTGTCACTGAAACCACTTACAGCTTGGGCTGTTCAAGATTGCTAGGGTCTTGTTTCCATACACAATAACCACGGTGGCTTGGGGCTTGGATAGAAATTATAGTGAATAGCTTGTATTTGGAAAGCTTTTAAGTCTGCTGTGGTTGAGAAGCCCATGGTTATGCACATACGGCCCTGGAGCTTTATCATTTCAGACTTTCTAGTCCTGCCACTTGAATTGTATTGTGCCCTTGTGAAAAGCGACAGACTTTCTTTATACAGGAAAAGATGGATCTTTAAAGCTGCAGGATTTTTATCCAAACTGAAGAAGAAAATATAATCATAGCGCACCACCGAGATTTCTCATCCAAGTCACTTTAAACTAGAGGTGCGAGTCCCTTAAAAATTAATTTGCTACAAGTGTAATTCCTGCAGGAAAGTTAGCACTGGTGCTGCTCCCAGGAAATGTCTCACCTTACTACAGCTCGAAGCCACACGGTGGCTAGGATTTTCTGCCACCAGTTGGTAGTGACAGGCTGCCTGTTCAGAGGAAACAAAATTTCCATTGAGGCAACTAATCTCCATGGGCTGAGCTTTTGTTAGTTTTCAACCAGTATGAAAAAATAGGAAGGATATGTCCCCTGTGAGGCAATACGCAATTGTCTGTTTGTCTTGCATTTAGTGGGTTGTATCTTTCTGCCAATAAGAGAAAATACCAGAAGGAGAAACTTGTGCAAAAGTGTTACATTTACATTGTGCCCTGCTATCAAGTGCTTCAGATAAAAACATGCAGCCTTAGTTAAACAGTCTTTCCTCCTAAAAGGACTTTTTGGAGCCTTTCATCAAGTCCTACCCAAA